AATTCGGAGTGTACTGGCAGTCTATAATGTAGACTGTAGCCTGGTTCTAAATCGGAGTGAGTGTACTGGCAGTCTATAATGTAGACTGTGGCCTGGTTCTAAATCGGAGTGTACTGGCAGTCTATAATGTAGACTGTAGCCTGGTTCTAAACCGGACTGACTGTACTGGCAGTCTATAATGTAGACTGTAGCCTGGTTCTAAATCGGAGTGAGTGTACTGGCAGTCTATAATGTAGACTAGCCTGGTTCTAAATCGGAGTGAATGTACTGGCAGTCTTTAATTCAGACTGTAGCCTGGTTCTAAATCGGAGTGAGTCTACTGGCAGTCTATAATGCAGACTGTAGACTGGTTCTGAATCGGAGTGAGTGTACTGGCAGTCTATAATGTAGACTGTAGACTGGTTCTAAATCGGAGTGAGTATACTGGCAGTCTATAATGCAGACTGTAGCCTGGTTCTAAACCGGAGTGAGTGTACTGGCAGTCTATAATGTAGACTATAGCCTGGTTCTTAACCTCAGGGAGCATACTGGCAGTCTATAATGTAGACCGTAGCCGTATTAGTATCAACAACAGCAGAGTGTTAAGAAACTCACCCAGGCAAATAAACATTGGTGGAAGCTTTCCTAATTTCGTTTGTCCTAACATATGTACGTAGACTTATATAGAGACCCATATAATACACAGAGACCCATGTAGAGACACATAGATCCATATAGAGACACAGAGACCCATAGAAATATAGAGACTCATATAGAAACACAGAGACCCTAATATATATACATAAAGATCCATATAGTGACACAAGAGACTCATATAGAGACATAGAGACCCATAGAGAGACAGAGACCCACTGAGACCCATCGAGATACATAGAAACCCATATAGATACAAAGAGCCATAGATACAGAGACCCATTCTAAAACTAAACTATGTTATTATTTTGCCAGGTGCAAGGTCCATTGAGCTACTTTGTAGCTTCTTCTTCAGAAGCGACCTGGCTAATCTCACACACACACAATGGTAGCACAGGTCAACCAAGTCATTTCCCCTTCATAAGCGATGAGAGAGGCTGTGTTAGGGATGTTAATGTGAGAAATTAGCATGTTAATGTAAGATCGGAGAGGGGCCTCCAAGATGAGGGCGCGGAGGTGGCTGTGTTATTAATGCCTCAAAAGTACATAAAGTGGCTATTATTCCACGCAAACTTTTTTTTGTGACCAGGACACTAAAGCGAAGTTAATCATCCACTCCATTAATAACACTGTGTAACAAACGAAAAATGTCGTCCCTGGGTAACAAGTATTATTGTCTAATTGATTTTGCCTCAAAGTATAGAAAGTGGCTATTCCACGCAAACTTTTTTTTGTGACCAGGACACTAAAGCAAAGCTAATCATCCACTCCATTAATAACAGTGTGTAACCAAAGAAATGTCGTCCCTGGGTCGTAAGCGTTATTTTCTAATTGATTTAGCCTCAAAGTATAGAAAGTGGCTATTATTCCCCACAAACCTTGCTTTTGTGATCAGGACACAAAAGCCAAGCTAATAATCCACTCCTTTAATAACACTGTGTAACAAACATATATCTTTTTGCGTCCTGGGTCGTAAGCGTTATTTTCCAATTGCCTATGCCTCAAAAGTATAGAAAGTGGCTCTTATTACCCACAAACGTTGCTTTTGTGACCAGGACATAAAAGCAAAGCTAATAATCCACTCCATGAATGCACCATGTAACAAAAAAAGTCGTCCCTGGGTCGTAAGCGTTATTTTCTAATTGCCTATGCCTCAAAAGTATAGAAAGTGGCTCTTATTACCCACAAAAATATGTTTCGATTTAAAGCTTTCGTGACTGCAGCGATTCATCTTCTTGGTTCTTTCGGTAAAGTCACGTTGAAGGGAAAAAAATTATAAAGTAAATTTAAAACATAATAAAATAATTCTCACGACGTTTCGGCCACAACGCAAGCAGCCATCCTCAGGTGAAGAACAGGTCTGTCGGAAAGACAGCGTCTGAATGAAATACCACCATCATGCTTGCGTTGTGGCCGAAACGTCGTGAGAATTATTTTATTATGTTTTATTTGTATTATTTTATTATTTCCCTTCTACGTGACTTTACCGAAAGAACCAAGAAGATGAAACTTTACTTTTGTGACCAGGACACAAAAGCCAAGTTAATAATCCACTCCATGAATGCACTGTGTAATAAAATAGATATATTTTGTCCCTGGATAGTAAGTGTTCTTTTATAATTGCTTATGCCTCAAAAGTACAGAAAATGGCTTTTATTACCCACAAACTTTGACTTTGTGACCAGGACACAAAAGGAAAGTTAATCATCCACTCCATTAATAACACTGTGTAACAAAATATATATATTTGTCCCTGGGTAGTAAGTGTTATTTTCTGTTTGCTTTTTCATCAAAGTACAAAAAATGGCTTTAATTTTCCACAAACTTTGCTTTTGTGACCAGGACACAAAAGCAAAGTTAATCATCCACTCCATTAATAACACTGCGTAATAATTTTTTTTGTGCCTGGGTAGTACGTGTTATTTTCCAATTACTTTTACCTCAAAGTACAGAAAATGGCTACTATTACCCACAAACTTTGACTTTTTGACCAGGACACAAAAGGAAAGATAATCATCCACTCCATTAATAACACTGTGTAACAAAAAAAATGTCCTTGGGTGGTAAGCGTTATTTTCCAATTGCCTATGCCTCAAAAGTATAGAAAGTGGCTCTTATTACCCACAAACTTTGCTTTTGTCACCAGGACCCAAAAGCCAAGTTAATAATCCACTCCATGAATGCACCGTGTAACAAAAAATAGATATTTTTTTTTGTCCCTGGATAGTAAGTGTTATTTTATAATTGCTTATGCCTCAAAAGTACAGAAAATGGCTTTTATTACCCACAAACTTTGACTTTGTGACCAAGACACAAAAGGAAAGTTAATAATCCACTCCATTAATAACACTGCGTAAAAAAAAATTTTGTGCCTGGGTAGTAAGTGTTATTTTCCAATTACTTTTACCTCAAAGTACATAAAATGGCTACTATTCCCCACAAACTTTGCTTTTGTGACCAGGACACTAAAGCAAAGCTAATCATCCACTCCATTAATATAACACTGTGTAACCAAAAAAAATCGTCCCTAGGTCGTAAGTGTTATTTTCTGTTTGCTTTTTCCTCAAAGTACAAAAAATGGCTATAATTTTCCACAGACTTTGCTTTTGTGACCAGGACACAAACGCAAAGTTAATAATCCACTCCATTAATAACACTGCGTAAGAATTTTTTTTTCCCCTGGGTAGTGTTATTTTCCAATTGCTTTTCCATCAAACGTACAGAAAATGGCTTTTATTCCCCACACACTTTGCTTTTGTGACCTGCACAGTAATATTTTGAGATTTGCTATTTTCAATGTGAAAACGTGCGCATTTGTGTCATTCCTTCACATAGAGTCCTGGTCACAAAAGCAAAGTTTGTGGGGAATAATAGCCATTTTCTGAACTTTTGAGGCATAAGCAATTAGAAAATAACACTACCCAGGAACAATAATCGTGTAATGAACAACATCAACACCATTATCAACATCATTAAGAACATCATCAACAACATCAGCAGAGTGTTAAGTAACTCACCCAGGCAACGAAAATTCGGTGGACGCTTTTCAAACTTGGTTTGGTTTTTTTTCTCTCTGCGGTTGCGTGACTTTACCCGGTGAAATTCTTGTTTCCTTGTTCACTTCGCTTACCTGTCCGCCACAGGTGACGTTAGGAGGGGTGGGTGGGTGGTTGGACGAGGAAGTGGGTTGGTGGATTAGTGAGTGGTTGGTGAGTGATTGATTTAGTGGGAGGGTGGGTAGGTGAGCGAGTGATGAGAGTGAAAATTTCAACGAGCTTCTAAAGTACAAGGCAGAGGGCGATGCAGAGCTGACCACCTGACTGAAAGGTCACTTTGATTTCACCAGTTCCCAAATTCAAAACGAAATTTTGAAGCTGGTGGGCAATACAATCATCAAATAAATTGTGTTGGAAATAACATCAATGCCAGTGGTCCATAAAAACAATTTGCTAAACCTTGGCCACAATATCTGGACTTGTCTCCATATAACAATGCATGGATTTATGTTTATACGATTGTGGTTATGGTTATACTCTTTGGTTCTTTCGGTAAAGTCACGTAGGTAGAAAATAAAATAAATCACGACGTTTCGGGCACAACACAAGCGTCCGTCATTAGGTGATGACGGACGCTTGTGTCATCAGGTGATAACGGACGCTTGTGTTGCGCCCGAAACGTCGTGATTTATTTTATTTTATACCTACGTGACTTTACCAAAAGAACCAAACAGTATGGATTCCTGCAGTCACAAAAGCTTCAAATCAAGTTATGGTTATACTTTATTCATCCTTAATCTCTGCCATTACATATGTAATGTGAGGATATATCCGGGTCGCTGACGGATCACAACTCGTCACGATGATTGGCTCTGCCGGTCCTGGTCCATAGCCAATGGGGGGAAGCCTAGGGGCGTGGTCCTGACGTCACAGGAAGGTGACATCTGTAAGTAGATGATTGGCTCTGCTGGCTTTAGCCACAGCCAATGGGGAGACGAGTCAGGGGCGTGGCCCTGACGTAATGGAAAGGTGACATCTGCAAGTAGAGGATTGGTTCTGCTGGCTTTAGCCACAGCCAATGGGGAGACGAGTCAGGGGCGTGGTCCCGGGAGCCTACGATGGAGTCTAGAAGATTCCATAGAGGCTAACCAGGATTGGTGGAAAGGTACCACGTGACCCGGTATTAAATAGGGGTGGAGACGAACAACACGTGGTCAGAACTGGAACGAACGGAGGGAGAGGCCACGCGAGAGCGGGGGTCCAGGCTGCCACGTGGCCACGCGTGTCTCTCTCTCTCTTTCCCTCTCACGCTGTCGGTCAGCAGTGTGAAGGAGTGTTGTAAAGAAAGACAAATAAAGACCGGATTCCAGAAGTCGCTTCCACGACCTTTATTACACATACAATGAATGAAGAAAAGATAAAAAATAAAAAACAGAGCAACGTAATAAAATACACTATTAGATATTATTGCAAATAATAAATAAAAAGTCCATCCCATGTGTTAGTGATTTTTTAAATATTTTTGGGGGACCCCCAGAACCCCTGGAAGATTTGGTACCCCCCCAATGTTGACTCCATGGCTACGGCCTTGCAGCGTGGTATCCGTGTACTTTTTCTATACGTAAACCCCACAGTTTGTCAGTTAAAAAGGTGACAAGGTACCCGCGCAGATAGACAGACAGACGGACAGACAGACACACAGACGGACAGACAAACAGAAAGACAAAGAAATACTTATATACTTTTGTCTAAAAGGTGTCAGTTTTGTACCAGATAAAAGGGTAAAAACCTTTTACTACAATACTTATATAGGTAAGAAGATTTTACACAGCCAAAAAACATTCCTTTAAAACACTTTGAAAACATCACCAAAACAAAGATGCTGGAAAACGCCGTTCTAGCTCTCAGTAGTGACAGCCGCCATCTTGGTGTAAGTGAGTCCCCTGTAGACGCCGTTTAGGGGAGCATCAAGGAATGCGCCATTCACGCAGGTGATGCGCAGCAGGGCCGTGTAAGGAAGGACGATTTTGACGTGGCCGATCGTGGCGACCACGTTGATGGTTTTGTGGGGCGGAACAGAGACTGGGAACGTGAGCGTATCAGTCTCCTCCTCGGACTCCTCCACCTTGTGCTTGCTCTCAATGCCCTCGGCGAAGCTGAACCCGCCCCCCACCTCAATGATCTTGGGAGTACCGGCGTTCACCGTCAGGCTGAAGGTGAACGCGATGTTGTTGGTGGTGGACCAGGATGACGTTTTGTTGATCTTCTTGGAGCTCTCGAAGGTGTAGGACTGATCGACACTGGTTTCGTTCTTGTACTGCATTTCTTTAATCTCCTCCGTCTGCACGTTGGGCAGAACCTGGTGCATAGTCGGGTACTTCATGTCCTGGATCACCGACGACTTTATGGCATTGATGAAGAGGAAGCCCATGGAGTCGATGTCGGACCCCGCCCGGCCCTGAACGCCCAAGCAGATGCCAGAGCCCACGTCGATCTTGTACTCGTTCTTGAGCTCCAAGTCCGTCATGTTGGCAAAGAACTCGCGGCTGTGGCTCGTTCTGAACTTGATGGCGCCCAGGTGCGTGCCGGCCTCGTTGTTCCAGAGCGAGAGGCTCGTGATGAACTCGCCCGACTTGAATTCGAACTTCTGAGCGGAGGAGTACATGGTGCCGAATGTCTTCCTGCGCCCGTCCGTCAGCCACACTTCGATGCCCCTGACCTGGCAGCCTCCAACGCTCACGGAGAGCTTCTGCAGCGTGGCCACATTCTCCTGCCCGTCAAACGAGAACGCGTTTCCACCTTGGCCACCAATGATCTTCAGCGTATACGGGGACGCCATGGTGTCAACCTGAAAGGGAGACAGAAGCAAAGGAAGAGCGTGCCAAGTGTTTTTTAAAGCCTCATCTCTTGCGGCTGACATCTTATCATTGACCTTTACGATGCCTGCTGCTGTATGTTTAGAGTCTATCTCTATCTGCCTCTCACTCCCCATGGTGTTCACTGCGTGGATTTTCTCTGGGTCCTCCGATTTTTCCCCCTCCACATTATACACTACTATACACTACACTTTTAAACACTACATCACGATACACTACACGACCATACACCATACCACTATACACTACACTACTATACACTAGACCATACACTACACCACTATACACTCGACACTACACTCCTATACACGACACTACTATACACTACACTATACACTATGCTAATGTACACTACTATCAACTACACTACTATACACTACAACAATATACACTACACAACTATACACTACACTGCTATACACTACACTATACACTACTATACACTACACTACTATTAACTTTAATACTATATACTATGCTACTATACACTATACCAATATATACCATACTACTGTACACTACACTATACATTTCTTTACACTACACTACTATACACTACACTACTATACACCACTATACACTCCACTACTATACACTACACCACTATACTCTACAATACACTACACCACTATACACTACACTACACCACTATACACGACACTACTATACACCACTATACACTACTGTACAGTACAGACTACACTACAATACACTACACCACTATACACTACACCACTATACACCACTATACACTACTATACACCACTATACACTACACTACTATACACCACTATACACTACTGTACAGTACAGACTACACTACAATACACTACACCACTATACACTGCACCACTATACACCACTATACACTACTGTACAGTACAGACTACACTACAATACACTACACCACTATACACTACACCACTATACACCACTATACACTACTATACACCACTATACACTACACTACTATACACCACTATACACTACTGTACAGTACAGACTACACTACAATACACTACACCACTATACACTGCACCACTATACACCACTATACACTACTGTACAGTACAGACTACACTACTATACACTACACCACTATACACTACACCACTATACACTACTATACACCACTATACACTACACTACTATACACCACTATACACTACTGTACAGTACAGACTACACTACTATACACTACACCACTATACTATACACTACTATACACCACTATACCCTACACTACTATACACCACTATACAATACTGTACAGTACAGACTACACTACTATACACTACCCTACTATACACCACTATATACTACACTACTATACACTACACTACTATACACTACTATACACTACCCTACTATACACTATGTGGTGCCACAACGACGGGGCCGCTCTGCCGAACCAGGGAGCCGCCCGGCTTCCCCCACCGCACTGCCCCCCATCACCCGCCCCACATAAGCACACACCCGCACGCATTCCCCCCCCCCCCCCATAGAGCTGGAAGGGAAGGTCACCTGATCGACCGGTTTTTATCCGAGAGACCCTTATCGGGATTAATTCTCACGGTTTCCGGCGATCAGGGAATTGGATGACCTCCCCGTGCTACGTGGCACCGCGGCGCTGCGGCCGGCCTTAATATGGTGTGGTCGCGGCGTGGGGCATTCGGCCACCGCGGTTGAGGCGCATTTCCCCCCACACACACCCCCACGAGTCGACGGGGCAAGCAGGGGAGGCACGGGACAGCATGAATAGCGGGCTCACAGGGGCTGTTGCGCATAGTCATGGAGGGTTGGGATAATTGCGCTTGAGCGCGCAGGCCCCATTGTTAGGGAGGGTAAGGGATTAATTAGGATTTACGCCTTGCACGCAGCACACTGATTAGCATATCAACAGCGCCCGGGGAACCGCCGTGCACGGGCTTGGGGTGCACGAGCCGATTGTTCAGCGCAGCATCCCCTTTGAGGTAGGGAGGATAAATAGAGGAGCGGAGAGGGGAAATCGCCCCTTCTCTCCAGGCCAGCGGACCAGCAGGGGTTCCAGCCAGCGACCCGGACGTCCGTGCGACGCATCGAGGTACGCTGTTAGCGCAGAGAGCAGCGAACCTCCGCGGGCACCAAACAGTGAGTGGGGAGGTGAAGTAGGGTATCGTAAGCCGATAAATAGGGAATAGGTACAGGTTTAGTGGAATAGGCCAGCCTCGTCGACTCACTGATTCAACATCAATTCGCAGGTGGCCTATAATAAATCATTAATAGCGAAGCGTGGTCTCGCGTGATCTTGTCGTGCAGTGTGAGCGTGTGGGTGCGCTGTGTGCACAGTGGTTCGCCACGTGAGTGAGCGCTGCGCGGAGCTGAGCGCGCGGGTTGCGCGTGGGTACGCAGTGATTCTGTAGTGCTGCGGCTCGCCTCGGGGGAGCGCTGCGCAGAGCGGTGCGAGAGTGGGTGTCGCGTGTGTTCACTCCGTGTGTGATACAGGTGCGCGAGTATAACGTGAGTTGAGTTGGAGTGCGCGGAGCGGCGTGTGTGTGGGCGTGCGTGCGTTCGCGCCGCGTGGGTTGCAGGCGCGCGATTAGGAAAGGGAAGTATCGTAGTAGAGAGGGGCAGAATACTAATCGGTAATTAACCATGCCCATTACGCGGACCCGCGGTGGAGGGGAATCCGCGGGCGACGGCTCCCCCGCCATAGGTGAGGAACTTAGCAGCGGGGGGGCGATTGATGATGCTAGCCCGGCCGTTAGCATTATCGAGGGAGGGATCTCGGGGGCTAGCGACCCCCACAACTACACTACTATACACCACTATACACTACACTATACACTACACTACTATACACTACACTACTATACACCACTATACACTACACTATACACTACACTACTATACACTACACTACTATACACCACTATACTCTACTGTACAGTACAGACTACACTACTATACACTACACACTGCACAACGGGCATCGTGTTGAATTGCAAGTTACCTTGTTTATCTGAGCAATGGCTCCGCTGTGCACATCTGCGTATCCCAGCGATTCCACCTCGCCCAGCAAGCTGCCCGGATCGTCGCAGACGATGCGAACGATCTCGGCGCGATTTCCTTTGATGAATTTTACTTCGATAGAATCTGCAAAGTTTAAGCAAAAAATAATCACGAGAATCAGAATATTGAATATTGTATTGCATACCTCAGGTGGAATCCGATCGGCTATAAAGCTATTTGATCACAGATGGTCAAGGTAGGTGGTCACGTGGTCAGAACGTTACAACAACAAACTGTCCAAAAAACACGATAGGAGTACAAAGTACAGGACAGGTAAACAAATAACCCAAACAAAGACAAATACACAACACCAAACCATGCACCCATCCTACCAGGCAAAGCCCCACTGAGGTATTAACAATGCTTTTTTTACAAGCGACCAGGCCTATCACAGATGATAGCAGCTCAATACAATGTCTGATATCATTCGGACGTTAATATCAGCAAAGTAATCCTAATAATCTCAATGGGCGACGATGTTGATTCTAAATGTGGAGGGGAAAAACCCAAGGACCTGGACAAAATCCATGAAGAGAGAGAAAGAGACGACGCAGACTTCCAAATATGCAGCTGGCGTCAGCGTCGGGATTGAACCCACAACCTCTTGTACACCAGGCGAGGTAGTTAACATCTCACAGGGTCGGGATCGAACCCACAACCTCCTGTACACCAGGCGAGGTAGTTAACATCTCACAGGGTCGGGATCGAACCCACAACCTCCTGTACACCAAGCGAGGTAGTTAACATCTCACACGGTCGGGATTGAACCCACGACCTCCTGTACACCAGGCGAGGTAGTTAACATCTCACAGGGTCTGGATTGAACCCACAACCTCCTGTACACCAGGCGAGGTAGATAACATCTCATCAGGGTCTGGATTGAACCCACAACCTCCTGTACACCAGGTGAGGTAGTTAACATCTCACAGGGTCGGGAACAAACCCACGACCTCCTGTATAACAGGTGAAGGAGTTCATATATCACAGGGTCGGGATTGAACCCATGACCTCCTGTCCACCATGCGAGGGAGTTAACATCTCCTAGCCACCGTGGCGCCCCGTAGTGGCGAATGGCGGCTGTTGCTGTTGTTGTTGTTGTTTGGTGAGAGGGGTGGGGGTCTGAGGACATGAAGCAGTGTGAGTGTTATATTTTTATAACGTCATCATAATTACTTTCAAAATCTAAATTTTTATCTATTGGAGGTTTTTTTTCCAGCAATTCAAAACGATAAAATGTTTAGAATATGGAATTTCTGTTCATTTTGACCTGTGGAAGGTACAGCCTCAGGGTTTTGTTTATTCTTCGTAAGAAGAGGCGATGCAGTCGATCCGGGCTGATCAGGGTTACCAGGCTCCCCGTCTGGAGGTTAAACGAGAGAAGAAAACAATAAAATGAATGCATTTATTCTACATTTGAAGCTTTCGTGTCTGCAAGGATTCATATTCTTAGGTTTTTTTCGGTAAAGTCACGTAGGTAAAAACATTAAAAAGTAAAATAAAATAAAAATCACGACGTTTCGGAGGCAACACAAGCTTCCGTCTTCAGGTGGTACCGTCACAGCCACGACAGCTGTATCAAGTATTTTACTTTTTAATGTTTTTACCTACGTGACTTTACCGAAAAAACCTAAGAAAATGAATGCAGGTAACATTTTTTTTTAAATGGGTGTGCAGCCCTGATATTGCCCGTTCACACCACCGAGGATGTTTGGCCTACTTCATTTTTACTTAAACGAAACTGTTTTTATTTTACCGGGTAAGGCCCCACTGAGTTACGTGACCTGGCTAACACAAATGACGGGCTTTACAAAGTAGCTCATTACCATCATCATTATCGCGTAGAAATGTATATCAGCAGCCCAATACTCTTAAATGTGTGACGTTGATTCTAAACGTGGAGAGAAAAATCAGCGCAACTACCACGTGAGACAGAGACGCTTCTGATAATTTTTTTCAGAAGCGACCTGAACATCATAAGTGATAGCAGCTCAACCACTTGGGCTGATCCACCATCATGGAGACAATTATAGCAGCAGCAGCCAAGTCCAGTGGTGGTCACATTCTGTCACGCTTTTACCTGGTCCGGTAAAAAACCTACTAGCGCCATCTGGGGGAACAGAAGAGCTTTGCAGATAATCAGATTTCCTCCAGTATATATATAAATACATTGGTTCTGAACTTTATGAATTCATGCCCCCTTACTGGACCATGAGTGAATGAAGAGCTTCATGGCTCTTAGGATTTCCTCCTCCAGTATATAATTAAATAAAGATTATAGTTTACTGGTGCAATGCGAGAAATAAAAATGGTCGCTACTTTACCGCATGGAAATTTCCCCCCCTTCTTCTTGTAAATGAACGCAGCAACAGCAGCGCCAAACAGAAGCAGCAGAACCACGGCCACCACAATGCCCGCTGTATTGCCTCCTCCTGTTTGAAAAGAGAAGCATGCAGGGTTGTGTGTGTGTCTGTGTGTTCCGCTGTCTCTCTGTTTCTCTGTATGTGTCTGCGTGTATGTCTGTGTATGTGTCTATGTACAGTGAGGGAAAAAAGTATTTGATCCCCTGCTGATTTAGTACGTTTGCCCACTGACAAAGAAATGATCAGTCTATAATTTTAATGGTAGGTTTATTTGAACAGTGAGAGACAGAATAACAACAACAAAATCCAGAAAAACGCATGTTAAAAATGTTATAAATTGATTTGCATTTTAATGAGGGAAATAAGTATTTGACCCCCTCACAATCAGAAAGATTTCTGGCTCCCCATTGGTTGACCAATGGGGAGGCCATCCCTCGACCACACTCGGGTATCGGCCTTCATAGGTGCCGCTGTTACTTGCTACTAACAGCACTTGCCCCTACAGTGTGTTATAGGCTACACAGGTGATCTCTGTCTGTATGTATCATCTAGGGACTTCTGCAAAAGTTAAACGTGTCGAAGCCGTGTAATCGGGTCGGCCAATCGGTGAATCTCAATGCAGCAACAATAACAACAAACATCTCCCGTATGTGACGTGGTGTGCGTACGTCCATCGATTTGTCTTCCCATTCCGTTACGCGTCCGATGACGCACAAACGTGAATGTACGTCGTAAGTTCGTCTCCCAATTTCATTTAGTTTCCGATGACGTACGTGACGGGGTGTACATCATCAGTGTGCCTTCCCGTTCCATTTCTGATTATGCACGTGACATGACGTGGTGTACATCGCGACGTGTGCGCGTGTGTGTGTATGTCATCCGAAATGGAAACCGGAGGTGAAAAAACTAAAAATGTAAATATTACTTTTGTATCGTCAAGTGCTGCAGTCGGTTCGTTCGCTGCCGTTTTCTATCTCTCTGTGCGGTGAGTAACGACGTCTTCATAACAAAACAAGGGCTGCTTCTGCTGCTGCTACTACTGCAGCTATTCAAGCCTCTCATGGTAAATCAAATTAACGCCGAAACCGCTTCCGCACCACACATGTGGGTGAGTGGGTGAGTGGGTTTATGTGTGTACGTGCGGTGAACTTCTTTCGCACCGTACGTAGCCGACTGTGGTAATATGTGAGTCAATATGGGTGTCTCTATGTGGGTATCTGTGGGTCTATTTGTGTCTTTGGGTCTCTGTGTATGTATGTGCGTTGAATTTATTTTGCAACGTTCTTAGCCAACTGTGATCATCAGAGGCACTAGCATCACACTAACATTGTGGCAACATGCATCAGGGTTGCGAATTAAACCCACGACCTCCTGCACACCAGGCGAGATAGTCAACATCTAACTAAGCCACCGTCAGCATGGGGACCTCAGCCTGTGTTCGTTTTACCGCTGGGTGCACCGGTCGGAATTGCATTGCTTGGATCTTGTACGCAGAACTTATCGTCTCCGTCTGCTTTGTGGAAACCGGCTTTACATTGGCACAGCCTGTCGGAGTTCTCGGTGCAAGGCTGGACAATTTCCTCGTCTGTGCAGGGAGACATGGGCGGGATAAACAAAGAAAAATCCATGTGGTGACCACCACGATGAGAGAGAGAGAGACGCAGATGGAAAATATACAGCAGCAGGTGTCATCATGGCCACGGGATCGAGCCCACGACCTCCTGCATACCAGGCGAAGGAGATAACAACTCGCAGGTAATATCACACGCAGTTCATCACATCTACGCCTCTATTTAAGGAAATAAACAGGTGGACTTCTCCACAAATCTGGCTCTCGCCTGATGAAGCTGGTTGTAATTACTGGCAAAACGTCACGGGTATTCAGATTGTAAATGTTGTGGCTTGGCTCTAAAACACACCGGTGTACTGTACTAGTACACTACATTATACACTACACTACTATACACTACACTACTATACCCTAAACTAATAACACTACTATACGCTACACTATACACTACTTTCCACCACACTATACACTAGTGCTGTACTATTAACGAATTGGCACGTTCTGTTTAAGTAACAAACCTTACTAATTGTCTGTGTCAGGTGATGGCAGGTTTAACGACACAACTTTAGATATTTACGCGATCAAACCCCCAAAAAACCCTGTATTATGGGCTTTTAACAATTTAACGTTTGCTGTTCTTTCCGAGCCTAGATAATTGATGGACGAGTGCTGGAGGTGCTGGTGTTGGTGAATCTGCTTGGTAAAGCTCTCCAGTCATCCAACCCCAGATTTCCCGCCACCTCCCGATGAACCGCGGTTGGCTATGTACAGTTCAACATTCACTACACCATTCACTACAATATTCACGATTCTATACACTACACCATACACTACACCATACACTATACTATCCACTACACACTACATTATACACTACACTATTCACTACAATATTCACGATTTTATACACTACACCATACACTACACTATCCACTACACTATACACTACACTACTATACACTACACTATTCACTACACCATACACTACACCATACACTACACTATTCACTACACCGTACACTACACCATACACTACACCATACACTACACTATCCACTACACTGTACACTACACTATACACTACACTATTCACTACACCATACACTACACCATACACTACATTATCCACTACACTATACACTACACCATACACTACACCATTCACTACACCATACACTACGGCACTATACAGTACACTACTGTACACTATACTACTATACGCTACTATACACTACACTACTATACACTACACTACTATACACTACTATATACTACTCAACTATACTCTACACTAGTATACACTATATACCACTTTACACTACGATACACTGCACTACTATATACTACTACACCCGACACAACAACAGACTACACTACTATACACTATACTACTATATACTACACTACTGTATACTGCACGACTATACACTACACACTACACTTCTATATGCATCCATACATCCAAATCGAATATTTAGAGGAACGCCACATCTCATTGATAAAGATGCAAGGGAAGTGGTTGTTACCTTTCTCACATTCGTTGCATTTCCAACATCTTGATAGGTAGTTTTCTACGGCCATGTAGTATCCGTTAGGACATTCCCCACAGGTCGAGGGGCCTTTGTTTTCTGTGCATCTATTCGCAACGAATTGCCCTGCAAGAGACGAGAGATGCAAAAGGTACAAACAAACAAACATCATCATCATCATCACCATCCACCTCGTTATTCACGAATTTGGTTATCCGCGAATCGTGCCTGGAACTCAACGTGACTGACTGCATCGAGAGAGATGCAGACTCCAAATACACAGCAGCAGTGCATGGTCAGGGTCAGGGAATCGAACCCACGACCTCCTGCACACTAAGCGAGGTAGTCAACATCTCTCTAGCAACTGTTGCTCACAAATGCACACCTCAAAAATGGCAACTTTTTTTGTCTACGACAGCGCTGCTTTGCTTTAATGCCGTGACTGCACGATTTCGTTTTTGGCTCTGCCCTTACCTGGCTTGCACAGCTCACAGCAAAGGTTAGTTTCTTCCACGTGGTAGAATCCATGAGGACACGGATACTCTGTTGGTGTCTGTGGGTGGCAGGAAAGGGTTGCATTGGCTTAGACCTTGTTTTTGTGCGTGTGTTTTTTACGTGAGTATGTAACTTTGTTTTTATGAGGTCGACGCACTCCATCATCATCGTCGTCATTAAAGCAAAAACAAAGAAGATCCCCCATATAGCCTGTAACAGACTGTTGGGGCAAGTTCTGTTAGCGAGCAGCAGCGCCTATGAAGGCTACCGGCACTGTGGCACACACAGAGGGGGTGGGTGGCCAGCACCACGCCCGGCTGCCTTTGTCTCCCCCAGTGGTGGTGTAAATACACCATCGCACCAGGCACTCATTTCAGGCTGAGTCGACCTAGGGGAAGCCCAGGACTGGTTCAGATAATCGCTACCACTGGTGTTAGTGTAGGGGTGTTACGGAGGGGCTGTATACAATGGGATCAGATGGGAAAGAAACACAGTGGGCGTGGCTATGTCGGTGCACGGGCAGGTGCTCCCAGCGACGTCCGCATCGGGCAGCCTGGGGGGCTGACTCGGAGCTGGGATCCCCCGGGGCCCCACCCCTCAGCGGGGGTTTTGGTATAAAAGGGGATGAGCCGGAGGGCTCAGAGAGAGATGTTGAAGCTAACCAGTGAAGATCGAAGATCGTCATAGATAGAGCTCTGGACTCCCCTGGATCGCCGCCCTTGTCAGGGCCGGACAGGATCGAGCCAGCGGCGTGGTCCCGAGAGCCAGAGCAGGTGCTCTTGTAAGAGCTGGTCTGGGACTCCGGGTACCGTGAGCCCGACTTACCAGTGTCGGGCTAGCTAGCCTTCCCTAGCCCGTTAGTGGAGAACCCAGGGGTAGGCTAGGTGTAGCTAGAAGTGTATCCCCAGTTAGACGGGTGAGGGGGCCAATACCCCCTCCAGTGTTGTATGTCAGTGCTGTACTGTACCGACACGGAATAAATGCGTGTGCCTCCAACCCCGGTGTCAAAGTCTCCTGGAACACTATTACATCTGGTGTTAGAAGTGATCATCCACGAATATGGACACGCGACGGACAGCTCGTGCCAGGGTACCGGGGGCGGAGGACAACACTGCAGAAATTGAGCCCGAGATGGCTGAAGGCGACGCCGAGCAGCCGGGGCCGGATACGTCCACACCGCAGCGTCTGGATGGAGGGGAGCCGTCAGCAGATGGACTGCGGCAGGCTCACACGAGACTGGCGGAGCTGCTCTACGCTGCTGCCGCCACGCTCGACCAAATTACGCGGCTGGGGGCTGGTGGACCGCCACGGAGCGACAACAGCCAACGACCAGCACGGGTTCCCGCCATTTCGACGGAGCCGGAGTTTGATTCTCCCGCCATCGCCGCAACAGCTGCTGAGGGCGTGGCCGGGCTGAGCCTCGCGTCCGACGTCGGCCGTACAGTGGCTGCAACGTCATCAACAGCGGCCAGCGCGTCACCAGTGGTGCGACCGGCGATGCCACTCGTCGTTCGCGCCGAAGCCGAAGCCGAGACGAGTGATGGGAGCAACGGGGGGCGACCTTCCACTGCGGCCGCTGCATTACACCAACGTCTACCTCCCCTCAAGGAGTTTGTGGGCGAGGATGGAGACTGGGGCGGCTTCCAGCGGCGCTTCCTCGCACACCAGGAGATGGCGCAGTGGACCGATGCCGAAGCTCTCCTCGCGCTGCCGGCGCTGCTCGACAGCGATGCCCTCGCCGCTCTCACCTTGGCGCCGAAAGACAAGCGCGCCACGCTGCAGATGGCACTTCAGTTGCTGGCTGCAGTCTATGGACCACCGTCTGACTGCAGACAGCTATTTTACGATCGTCAGCGGGGTGCAAAGGAGTCGCCCCTGGCGTATCGCACGAGTCTCCTGGCGCTAGCAAGAACGGCTTTCCCGCGAATGGACGACGAAGGAGTGGACGCCATGGTCACCGAAAAGATCCTCTTGCTGGCTGACGAATTGGACATCGTCGTCGTGGCGCAGGACGACGCTGAGATGTCTTCCCTCCGGGCCGCACAACACCTCCACGCCAACCTACTATCGCAGCGACGAAAGGCCAGCAAGGCGGCGACCGGCCGTACCGTGGCTGCAGCCACCCTCCCGGCGGAGGAAATCTGCGCCGTCGACCGTCAGCTGGAGTGGAGAGCGGGAGTACGGCCGGCTCGGGACGAACCGAGCCGCCTCGACCAGCAATTGTCATCGGCAGCGCTCCCGCGCTGCTACAAGTGCGGCCTCCGGGGTCATGTCGCCTCGGGATGCCGCTCTCCTTGGCAGCGCGGGGCGACGCATCGACAGGACGCCGCGCCTCCTCCCAAGCTCCAACATAACCCGGCAGGTCGCGGCACCCCTCATGTTTGGCCCACGCACACACCCGTCACACACTCACGCACCGCAACGAACGGGGGGCCGAGATTGCACACCGTCGCGCCAACACGTACCACTGTGGGGACTAATATCCAACCCAGCCAGTGGTCCGTGTTGGCCCATCGCGTTGTGGCCGCGTCGTCGGGGTCGTCAGCTGTTGTGGGGCACATTGATGGGGTTGAGGTGCGCAACCTGGTCGATACGGGAGCATCGGCGACCATTATTTTGGAATTGATTTACAACATTCTTCCCGTTCAAAGCCGTCCTTTGCTGCCCATTGATGTTCCGTTCTATGCTGCTAACGGGGGCTCACTGGGCATCATTGGACAAATTCGAGCGCAAATTTGTATCGGAGATATAAAATTATCGGGCCCAATTTTTGTCTCCTCCTCGCTGGCGGTTCCGTGCCTGCTGGGGACGGACTTCCTGGGCAAAATGCCGATACGTATCTTAATCGACCAGGGCTGTATTGAGCTCCCGTCGGGCCGACGTATGGCATTTCTACCGTCTCCCTCTGCGGGTCGGACGGCGTTCGCAACGGTACCGGCGCTCGTTGACAGAACGGTACGCGTACCGCCGGGGGCCCAGATGCTGGTGCCTCTTAAATTACGTCGGCCTTTTGCTAAAGGGATTGGGGACCAGGGGGTTCTGCTGGGGCCATCTAGGGTCGGGGTTAGTGGACCTCATTTAATTCCGGCCCAGACCATCGTTAAAGGGGACGGGGACCCTTTCATCGCGGTCCTCAATGTGGGGCCGCGGACGGTGGTGGTTCCACAGGGGACCGTGCTTGCTCACGCAACGCCAGTGCCCTGTGAGGAGCCCGTCGTAAATCACGTGAGCGCTGCCCCTCTGCCGCGACCACATACGGACAGTGATGAGGGGTGGCTCGAGGCGCTTTGTGCGGGATCGACGGACCTGTCGGACTTAGAGCGTCAAAAGCTTAAGACATTGCTGCGTGAATTTTCCGACGTTTTCAGTCGGAACAAATACGATCTGGGCTGTACTCATCTGCTGCGTCACCATATTGATACGGGTGACAGCGCGCCAATTCGCCAGAATCCTTTTCGGTTAAGTCCCGCCGAAAAGGACCATGTCAAATCGGCCGTTGATGACATGTTAGCCGCCGACATCATTTCTCCTTCTACCAGCCCTTGGGGAGCGCCGATTGTCTTAGTTAAAAAACATGACGGCTCGTTGCGATTTTGCGTCGATTTTCGTCGCCTCAACAAAATTTCGGTTGCCGACGCATACCCGCTCCCACGGATGGACGAATCGCTTGATGCCTTGGCAGGGGCGCGATTCTTCTCCACATTGGATTTGCTTTCGGGATTCTGGCAGCTTTCTCTGGACGATGATTCGAAACCCAAAACTGCATTCTGTACACCGCACGGCCTGTTCCAATTCAACCGGTTGCCGATGGGACTCCACTCAGCGCCGGCAACTTTCCAGCGATTGATGGAATTGGTTTTGGCTGGGTTACAATGGGACTCGTGCTTGATTTATTTGGATGACGTTATCGTCTTTAGCAAAACATTCGACGAACATCTCCAGAGGTTGCGGGCGGTTTTCCTCAAAATGCGGGCTGCTAATTTGAAATTTAAACCCCAAAAATGTCATTTGTTACGCGAATCCGTGCATTATTTGGGACATACCGTCGGACGCTCAGGTATTGCTACCGATCCCGCCAAAACGCAGTGTGTCAGCTCCTGGCCGACTCCGACCTCTGTGGGAGAGGTCAGGAGTTTCGTTGGTTTCGCGTCGTATTACCGACGGTTTGTCACGGATTTTGCAACGATCGCAAAGCCCCTACACGCTTTGACATCAAAGGGGGTCCGGTTCCACTGGGGCCAGGACGAGGAGGCTGCCTTCCGATCCCTCCGGGACGCGTTGGTTAAGGCTCCTCCCTTGGTTTACCCTGATTTTTCCAAACCCTTTTTGCTCGACACGGACGCGAGCAACACGGGTATTGGGGGCGTGCTTTCGCAGGTGGTTGACGGCGTGGAACGGGTAGTCGCGTACGGTAGTCGGGTGTTGTCTCCAGCGGAGCAAAGGTATTGTGTCACCCGTCGGGAACTGTTGGCAATTGTTAACTTCATCCAACAGTATCGCCCATATCTGTACGGTCGGCATTTCACCGTCCGCACAGATCATGCGGCACTACAGTACGCCCTGCGAGTTCAACAACCATCGGGACAATTGTCTCGATGGTTGGAGATTCTCCAGGACTTCGATTTCGAAACTACGTACCGTAAGGGCGTTCGCCACACAAATGCGGACGCTCTGTCACGGATGCCAACCACCTCCGAATGCGCATGCCTCCTGGGGTCGGGACGTTGCAGGCCTCCGAGTGAAATGTCCGTTCCGGTCTTGGCGGCCGCCGCTGACGCAACGTCGATGACGGATTCAATTGCACAAGAGGGAAACGATTCCCTCTTGGGGTTGCCTGTTGCTGAATGGGGGCGCCTCCAGATGGAGGATACCTCCCTCCTCGCGTTGCGTCGTCGCGTCGGAAGTGCTGGGCGGGGGAGGGGTGATGTCGACTCATGGGAGATGGTCCAGGGTCTGTTAATGCATTGGGACGGGAGATCCCATCGACACCGGCTGGTGGTCCCTTCTGGGTTGCGGGGTAAGGTGGTGTGGGCTGCTCATGAGCGCCTCCTCCACCTGGGGACTCAAAAAACCCTCGCCATGCTCCAGCTAGATTTTTTTTGGCCGGGCATGACAAGGGATGTCGGGGATCTGTTGGGATCATGTCCTCGGTGTGCGCAACGTAAACCACCAGCACGGGAATCTAACCCGCCTTTGCAATCCATCAAGGTTTCCAGGGTCAACGAGCTTGTCGCACTTGATATTCTGGGCCCATTCCCCGCTACCCCCAGGGGCAACAGATACCTATTGACCGGGGTGGAATATTTTACGTGCTGGCCTATGGCCTGACCCCTTGCCAACCAGTCGGCAGCAGCCATCGCGGAGGCCTTTGTCCAGGGATACGTCCTGGACAAAGGTGCTCCGGAGCGGCTGCTGACCGACCAGTGCAAAAATTTTTCTGGTAAACTTCTCCAAGAAGTCTGTGAGCTCCTGGGCATGAAAAAAATTCGTACCTCCCCATATCATCCGCAAACTGACGGGATGGTCGAGCGTCTGCATCGAACCATCACGTCGATGCTGTCCCAACAGGTCTCGGACTCACAGACCGATTGGGACCTTCAAATTCAAGGGGTCTTGGCAGCATATAGAATGGCTCCCCATGCGGCAACGGGATTTTCCCCCTTCTTCTTGATGTACGGCCGCGAACCTGACCCGCCTGTTCAGACCCAGCTGCAGATCTCCGCGCCGCGGGGTAAAACTAAATTGGCCGACCACGTTAAATTCAATATTGCTAAATTAACAGAGGCACGGGAGGCTGCTATGCAAAATTCCGACCTCCGCCAGAAGGCTAACGAGAGGCTCAGGCTGGGTCGGGCGCACGTACTGCAGTGGAAACCGGGTGACAAGGCATGGTTACACTGTCCACAGGTACCGCTTGCAACCTCCTCTAAACTGGTGCGGCCGTGGCGGGGCCCTGTGGAGGTGGTTCAGGTTTTGCGGCCTCAGTGTGTACGCATCAAATGGGGGAAGCGGCGGTGGTTTGTGCACCCCTCCAGATTGAAACCCTTCGTTGCGGTCTGAGTTCCCACTTCACACACGCGTGGCCAGACATGTGGGGGGTCCGCCGACTCACAGGGTCCGTCTCCGCTGCTCTCACCTAACGTGCTGCCGGCTGTCCCGCCCCCAGGTGCATCGGGAGTGACAGGCTCACGCCCGACAACCCCTCCTGGGGATGCCAAGGGTCACGTGGCAACGGAAAGTGACTCACTCGGACACGGACGGTTGCCACCCAACAGTCCGCCATCTGGGGTTGCCCCGTGTGACGGGCCTGCTGCAAGAACGCGCGCGAAAATGCGCGGACTTTTGTGAGGCCCGGAGAAATGTACATATGTTGTGTTCATTGTGTGTTGTGTGTGTGGTGTGTTCTCCTACAAATTGTATATAGGGTGCTCTTACGGTATTCGTATTTATTCAGGGGGGGTGCGCCGGGTTAATTCTCTTCTTGCTGTTGGGGTTCTTGTTGGTGTTCTTGTTGTTGTTATTGTTGAAAAAACAATTGTGAGGCACACGCGGGTTCAAGGGGTAAATACACTTTTATTGTTGTTTGTTGCAGCCGGGACGGCTGCGAGCTGTACAGGGGGGGGTGATGTAGGGGTGTTACGGAGGGGCTGTATACAATGGGATCAGATGGGAAAGAAACACAGTGGGCGTGGCTATGTCGGTGCACGGGCAGGTGCTTCCAGCGACGTCCGCATCGGGCAGCCTGGGGGGCTGACTCAGAGCTGGGATCCCCCGGGGCCCCACCCCTCAGCGGGGGTTTTGGTATAAAAGGGGATGAGCCGGAGGGCTCAGAGAGAGATGTTGAAGCTAACCAGTGAAGATCGAAGATCGTCATAGATAGAGCCCTGGACTCCCCTGGATCGCCGCCCTTGTCAGGGCCGGACAGGATCGAGCCAGCGGCGTGGTCCCGAGAGCCAGAGCAGGTGCTCTTGTAAGAGCTGGTCTGGGACTCCGGGTACCGTGAGCCCGACTTACCAGTGTCGGGCTAGCTAGCCTTCCCTAGCCCGTTAGTGGAGAACCCAGGGGTAGGCTAGGCGTAGCTAGAAGTGTATCCCCAGTTAGACGGGTGAGGGGGCCGATACCCCCTCCAGTGTTGTATGTCAGTGCTGTACTGTACCGACACGGAATAAATACATGTGCCTCCAACCCCGGTGTCAAAGTCTCCTGGAACACTATTACATTAGTGGCCGTGAGTTGGTATCGAATTCGGGATGCCGGGTTTGTAGCGTAGCGTTAACCGCTACTGCACTACCACTCCCAAACACACGCAAACAGATACACAAACATATACACACACACACATAGATATATACACACAGCACACACAGACACACAGACAAATACACAAAGACGAAGACAAAGATTCCCATATAGCCTTAATAGACTGTTAGGGCAAGTGCTGTTAGCGAGTATCTATGAAGGCCAGCACAGCATACGAGGGGTGGGTGGCCAGCACCGCACCCAACCGCCTTTGTCTCCCCAGTGGCGATGTTAACACATCGCACCAGGTACTCATTTGAGGCTGAGTCGACATGGGCGGGAATTGAACCCGGGTCGCCAGGTTCATAGGGCAGCGCGCACACCGCTACACTACCACTCACACACTCAGATACAACAACAGCCGCCATTCGCCACTAAGTGGCGGTGACGTCACCACGACGCTTGTGTCAGGCCATGTGCACCTTGAGGCCACGTGAAGTGTCGAGGAGGTCACGGGGCAGACCCAGCAGGTGCCACGGGTCGACTGGCTGAGATGACCGAGATGACTGGCTGATGCACCACCTGTGCCCCCTAAGGTGCCAACTTGCTGTGCTTTAGCCACCCGGCACTCCGCTCGTTGTTATGAGCGTCGCTCCTCCGCCCTCTGTTGTTGTTGGAGGGCGATTGCCTCCAACTGCCCAGTAGCGTCCTTCACGAGCCTCCTCCACAGAGGCCGATCTTGACACCGCTGGTACCAGTCATCGGCAAGACCACTCAGCTCCACATCCTCCTGTACCATGTCACTAAATCTCTTCTCTAGCCCGTGCCGCGCCCGTTTAGCCCCCTCGATCCAGCCGAACAAAAGCTGTTTGGGCATGTGGTGATTGGGCATGCGGGCTACATAGCCCAGCTAACGCAGCCATGCCTGCCGGAGGTGCTCACCGATGGGACTTTGTCAAGATCTGTGAGCTCCTCACACAAACTAGCCTGGTTAAACCCATGATGGATCGTAGGGAGGCCAGCCTAAATGTTTCTAACCAGAAAAGATGTTCCATTTGGGGGATCCACGTTTTGCAAGCGTAGAGAAGGGAGGGAATGACTGTGGCCGAGAAGACTTGAAGCTTCGTGCGGAGCGACAGATTCGGTAGCTTCCACACAACGTTATGCAACCGATGCAAAGATAATGCAGCTCGACTGATTCGGAGTGAGACCTCTGCTGTCAAACCGGAACTGCTCATGAGCACACTGCCCAGGAATCGGAAATTCTCCACTCTCTCAATTGCCTCATCACCAATTGGGAGTTGTGGGGGTGGAGTGTCCGATGGAACAAAATACCCAGGCAGGCGCTTAGTTTTGGTGGCTTACTTTTATCTAACCGGGTGTGGCTAGAATCCACGCAGTGACTACCACGGGGAGAGAGAGAGACGCAGACTTCAAATATACAGCAGCAGCAGGCATCGTCAGGGTCATGGGATCGAACCTCTTGTACACCAGGAGAGGGAGTTAACATTTCCCTCACCACCATGGTGCCCATGATGATGATGATGAAGGTAACCTACTGATAGCAGTGACCATCATCATCATGATCATCAACCCCTCCACCCCTTCTCTTACCGCAGCCACCAATCCGGCACAGCAGCACAGCGCCAGCACTGACGTGAGCATCTTCCCCCGTTCGGAGACCACCACCAGCACCAACCACCAACTTCCTCTTCTTCTTATAATGATGATCCGATGGGCATCTTCAATTCGTATCTCCTGAGCAACGCACCGCGCACACCACGAGATCGCAAAGAGGCCCCTTGAGTTATTGCTGTGTTTTCATTTCGCACGGTTCCGTGAGTGCCACCCCGTATGTGTGTGTCTGTGTGTGTGTCTGTGTGTGTGTGGTGTCTGCGTGTGTGTCTGTGTGGTCTGGCAAAAAAAACCTACCTCATCGTTGGTGCCGGACGGTAACGCTGTGGTGAGCAGTGCCCTGGCGGGAGGGCCAATTTAGATTGCCCATTCCCTTCATAGCGTTCTTAGCCAACGCAGCGGCCAAAAGGACTCTGGATGGGTGCGAGGGGCTGGTAACCCCTCCAACTTCAAATAAATTACCAGGATACCATCGGAAAAAATATAAAACAAAGCTTGCGCCGGAGGCCCCGGGGGGACAGGCGTCTATGACATCTCCTGGCCAAACCCCATTTGGCGGAGCCAGGAGACTGAATCTTCACCCTCGGGGTTCCTCCAGAAGCAGCAAAATCCACTGCGGGTGACCACGTGGAATGTTCAAACGCTCACTGTGGAGCAGAGGCTGCCACTCTTCTGTCAGGAGCTGGACCGGTACTGCCTGGATCTCTGTGGTATTCAGGAGGTCCGGTGGACTGGATCGAGATCCTGCCACCAAGAGGGGTGGACAGTCCTCTACTCGGGGCAGGAGACTGATTTAAAGGCAAGCTTTAAATCGAAATTTTACCTTCATGATGGTGAGCGGGCCCAGATTAAACTACGTGGCTGGGAGTCGGAGCCCTTCCCTGTTCACCTTGGGGTGCGACAGAGATGTCCTCTGTCTCCCATATTATTTAACATCTATTTCGACCACGTAGTTCGTGAAGCCTTCCATGGCTGTACCGGAGGAATTTCCATCTGGTACAGATACAATGGGAGGCTGATCGATACCCGGGTGTGTGGTCAAGGGATGGCTCCCTATCGGTCAACCATGTCTCGAACCCACTAGAGGGTTCCAGGGGCCTCTCTATGAGGGCTACTGTGACCCTTGCCCCAGTTCCTCCGCTCTGCCGGCACACGTGTAGAAAACATCGCCACTAGGGAGACAAAGGCGGCCGGGTTTGGTGCTAGCCACCCACCCCCTCGTGTACAGTTTGGGCCCTCAAATAGAGACTCATAGACTCACAGAGACCCATAGACACACAAACACACACAGACACACAGAGACTCACAGACACAGAGACCCACAGTCCCACACAGAGACTCACAGACTCGGAGACCCACAGACCCGCACAAACTCATCACAGATTCCCACACAGACTCACTACAAATACCCATACACACACAGAGACCCATAGACTCACACAGATGCCCACAGACACGCACAAACTCACCACAGATACCCACAAACTCAACACAGGTTCTTATCACAGATCCCCACAGAGAGACTCGCTACAAATACCCACACAGAGACTCACAGATCCCCACACAGAGACTCACCACAAATACCCACACACACAGAGAGAGACCCATAAACTCACACAGAGGCCCACAGATACACACAAACTCACCACAGATACCCACAAACTCACCACAGATTCTTATCACAGATTCCGGCACAGAGACTCACCACAAACACCCACACAGAGAGAGACCCATAGACTCACAGATGCCCACAGACACGCACAAACTCACAATAGTTCCCATCACAGATCCCCACACAGAGACTCGCTGCAAATACCCACACACACAGAGAGAGACCTATAGACACACACAAGCTCACCACAGATTCCCACACAGAGACTCACCACAAATGAGAGCACAAACGCTACGAGCGAAATTCCTCTTCCTCGGATGGAGTTTAAGCTCCAGGTGTCTCCATCCCACTGTCTCTCTCTCACCCCTCACCTGCCTCTGTCTCTAACTCCGATTAAAGCGAGAGACAGAGAGACAGACGCAGGGAGACAGACACAGAGAGACAGACACAGAGAGACAGACACAGAGAGACAGACACAGAGAGCGAGAGACAGAGAGACAGACACACAGAGACGGACACAGAGAGACAGACACAGAGAGACAGACACACAGAGACAGACACAGAGAGCGAGAGACAGAGAGACAGACACAGAGAGACAGACACTGAGAGACAGACACAGAGAGCGAGAGACAGAGAGACAGACGCAGGGAGACAGACACAGAGAGACAGAGCGAGCGAGCAAGTGGTCTCCTACTTCCTCTTTCAGTTTGTACACCGAGTCATTTGGAGACTCAACGATCCAGGGGGGGAAGGGAGGGGGGGAAGAGTGTACCTGGTGCGTGTGTAGTCAGGGGCCGTCCATAAATGACGTCACGTGATTTTGGACGATTTTTGACCCCCCCCCCCTCGTCAAATATGACGTCACAAAGCTCCCCCCCCCTCCAAATATAACATGCTTCAAATCGCTTTAAACTATTGTCATTGTAGTGCATATTTAATGTGGCGCTGCACTCTGATGTTGTAGGAGGAAACATTTATTAAAAAGTCGATTTAAATAAGTAAAACGTGTTGTCTATCTATATATATAAAATCGCGAATCTGTCTGTCTGTCTGTGTGTGTGTCGCCGGACCATACGCACTTTCATTGGACGGCGGTTGCCCCTGGCAACGGGTAGCGACGCCTTCGCCGCTTTCATTGGACGGCGGTTGCCCCTGGCAACGAGTAGCGACTTTTTGGCCGCGGGGTGGACGCCATTTTTTATTCCCGTAAAAAATAGGCGCACGCATTAACACAAAGTTTCACGTCCTCTTCACTCCCCCCCCACCACAATGTGTGCAATTACTATTATAGGGTCGGTCGATTATTAAATTATAGCCATTAGACAGTATTATTGTAGCGCGGGGGATCGGCGCGCCTCACTAAAACCCTACAATGGATCGGCGCGCCTCACTAAAACCCTACAACGGATCGGCGCGCCTCACTAAAACCCTACAACGGATCGGCGCGCCTCACTAAAACCCTACAACAGATCGGCACGCCTCACACAAACCCTACAACGGATCGGCGCGCCTCACTAAAACCCTACAGCGGATCGGCGCGCCTCACACAAATCCTACAACGGAAGCGTAACGCATTGTAGTGTCGTGGTTAGCGCGCCACGCTACGAACCCGGCGACCCGAGTTCCATTCCCGCTCACGGCCACCACCGGTGACGATTATTTGAACCGGTCCTGGGCCTCCCCTAGGTCGACTCAGCCTCAAAACGAGTAACTGCTGTGGCGTATGAACATCGCCACTGGGGAGACAAAGGCGGCCTAGCGTCGTGGATCCAAGACCCGGGCGAAGCCGGGTAGTAAAGCTAGTATTTTATGTTGCGAATTTTGATGTGACGTCACATTTCTCCCCCCCCCCGTCACACATCGTCACAAATGTCTGAACACCCCCCCTTCTCCAGGTGCGTGACGTCATTTATGGACGGCCCCTAAACGTCGCCATTTTGGGAAGACAAAGGCGGCCGGGCGGGCGTGGTGCTGGCCACCAGAGGTCGCAAACGGGTTTTGATTCCTTACCCCCCGTACCCGTACCCGGCCGCACCAGGGTCGCAAACGGGTACCCGTACCCGGCCGTACCCGTACCCTACCCGTACCCGTCTGGGTACGGGTAGGGTACGGGTATCGGGTACCTGATTGCGACCTCTGGGATGAAGCCATGTTGCAGGCGCGGGTGGGTTGATTCCAGAAACTTGAATTGTGAGAAGAGACAAGACGTTGGGAAATGAGTGACAAACGGTGACTCACCAGTGACTCACGGCCTATCCGTACTCGGCTGCACCAGGGTCGCAAACGGGTACCCGTACCCGACCACCCGCTGACTCGAGAGAGATAATAATAACTCGTGATTGATGCAATAATCTTTTAATTGTCTTAATTTAATTCAATAATGAAACTTGTGATTAATGCGAGAATCTGTTCATATTCTTGGGTTTTTTCGATAAAGTCACGTAGGTAAAAAAATTAAATTAATAAAAGTAAAATAAAAATCAAATAAAAATCACGACGTTTCGGAGGCAACACAAGCTTCCGTCTTCAGGTGGAACCGTCATAGCACGCTTGCTGTATCAAGTAAATGAGAAATTCCAAGAAGAGAATCTGTTAATTGTTTAAATTTAATTTACGAATTGATCTTTAATTCATAAAACCGTTCATAATAAACTTTTTTGGGTTTAGATCGCGTTATTTATAAATGTGTCGTAACCCTCCACCACCCGACACGGCCAATCAGCAAAAAAGTGTCACGTTGACAAAGACAAATAGGTCACTGCTTTAGCCCACCAGTGTGTTGAAGCGTGAAACCACAACATTTACAATTTTTGAGAACGACGTTTCGCTGGTAATGGCATCCAGCATCATCGGCAATTCGCCAGAATGGCGAGGCAGAGCCTCACCATTCTTAACTTTACGTTAACCTCACACAAAATCGCTGCTGATAATTATTCTGAGTGCTTAATTATCGTTACGATCACATTCATACCAATGTAATAAAGAATTTTAATCCATTATAATTATTCATGAACAACACCCATATTTGTTACTGTGCATATATGCGCCCACGTGATGGGGCGCGGCAATTTTTGTCCAATCGGAGCGCTGCTGCTGCCGCTCGTTAAGCCGTTTTCCTCACCCAATCAGCGACGTGCGCCGTCTGTGTGTGTGAGGCGTGTAATTGTGAACAATGCAGCCACATCAGACATTAGAATAGGGACTCATCTACTTAGGAACGAGTTAGGTTCCAGAGCTGCCTGTTAGTAAGTCGATTTGTTCTTAAGTCCCAACTTCAATCCTGTCGATCCCAAACGTGTTGTTACGGAGTGCCCACTAAACACGGGGAATGGCTTTAAACGTTGTATAATATCCTGCAGATGTACATGCCACTGGTTCTTCATGCTCTGCAGATGTAAATGCCACTGTTTCTTCACGTTCTGCAGATGTAGATGCCACTGGTTCTTCACGTTCTGTAGATGTAGATGCCACTGGTTCTTCACGTTCTGCAGATGTAGATGCCACTGGATCTTCACATTCTGCAGATGCCACTTATTCTTCGTGTTCTGCAGATGTAGATGCCACTGGTTTTTCACATTCTGCAGATGTAGATGCCACTGGTTCTTCACGTTCTGTAGATGTAGATGCCACTGGTTCGTCGCATTATGCAGATGTAGATGCCACTGGTTTTTCACATTCTGCAGATGTAGATGCCACTGGTTCTTCACGTTCTGTAGATGTAGATGCCATTGGATCTTCACATTCTGCAGATGCCATTGGTTCTTCGTGTTCTGCAGATGTAGATGCCACCACCGCCATCTTTTGCACGGCGGTTGAACTTACGAGCCTCGGTACGAACAGGAAACCGGATATATGGACAGTTTGTATCTCTGAAAGTTCATAAGTAGAATGTTCATAAGTAGAGGAGTCTTTGTCCATATGTAATAAAGGTCGTTGAGGCGACTTCTGGAATCCGTCTTTTATTCAACTTGTATTACAGCTTTCCTTCACGCTGCTGACAGGCAGCGTGAGAGGGACAGATAGACAGAGAGAGACACACCGCCACGTGGCAACCCGGAGCCCCGCTCCCGCGTGGCCCCCTTCCTCTGTTCGTTCCCGTCCTGACCACGTGTCGTTCGTCTCCACCCCTATTTAATACCCGGGTCACGTGGTACGTTTCCACCAATCCTGGTTAGCCTCCATGGAACATTCCAGGCTCCCTCGTAAGCTCCCGGGACCACGCCCCTGACTCATCTCCCCATTGGCTGTGGCCAAAGCCAGCAGAACCAATCCTTACAGCTGTCACCTTTCCATTACGTCAGGGCCACGCCCCTAGGCTTCCCCCCCATTGGCTATAGACCAGGACTGGCAGAGCCAATCATCATGACGAGTTGTGATACGTCAATGACCCGGATATAACCTCACATTACACATATAATCAGCATAATCATCGTTTCATTGTGGATCAAAGACTTAGTCCCTACAAGGCGCGCGTGTGTCTGTTGGCGAAGTTAGGATATTGTCTTGGCTTTTTTTCCTTTAGCAATTGAGAGGTAGGTGTTCAAGGGTTTGCTGGCCTCTTGAAACCCCCAGGGACACTTGAGCAGTGTGTTGGGAGGTGTAACACTCTGCATGATGGTGTATATATTGTGATAAAATGTTATTAATACAACTTGCCCTAACATCCACCACCTCTTACCATCAGAATTCCTATAAAAGTTCCCATGCAAATGTACGTACTCATCAATCCGTACTGGATGATCATAAAAGCATCAATGGGCAAATCTCAGGATCACGTGATTAAACCTAAATTATAGGCAACACCTCAAAGTGTCAATATTCGCACAGAATGCGTTCACATCAAATGCGTATCAAATATCTAGGAAACGTCCACGATCGGATAAAACAATTACTTTATTAAAATGAAACAAATAGTGAGTTAGTGTCAAGTTCATGTTTCTCCTTTTTCTTCTTTCTGTATAGACCCATAGAGACCCACAGAGACCCATAGGGACACAGAGCTGCTATCATTACGTGGCTTACATCCAGTTAAACAAACAACAACAACAACAAAACATTATTTTTTGTTATTTTAAAAGTTGGAGCCCGCTGTTTGATGTCTGCGTCTTGCAGACATCAAACAGCGGGCTCGATGATCAAGAGTACATTCTCAAAGATCTTGGGCATCCGCGGATAGTTTGTCTTCAAATTCCAGAGGGCCATCCAGAATTCTCTGGCCACACGGTCACCCTTATGGAGCAGCATCGTTATCAGTTGAGATGCAGCTTCAGAGCCACTTTTATTTGTTTGAGTGGTCGAGACAGCCTGTGAATAAACATATAAAAAAAAACGATAAAAACGTAAACATTAGATATTTTTTGGGATTATCCACGACTTTTGAATTATTCCCGCAACTAATGCGCGGATAATCGAGTCTTACTGTTTTAACAACAAGAGATATATAATAAACATCTTTGATGGGCTCACATTCATCTCGGCAATTGTGAAGATCTCCTTCTCAAACAGCTTCGTCAACACCGGCCTCACATCTCCCTCGATAGCCTCGACCAGCGCCATCATATTTTTCTTTATGCCATCGAGCAGTTGCTCGTCCGAGCAAGCGGTCAGTCTCCTGAAGGCCTCCTCATTCGCCGCCACCTCGCCAGCAGGAGTGGTGCTGTAGTGAACGTTCGCGTCACGTCCCGGAGCTTTTTCTGTTTCAAGAGAGAGAGACAAAAAGACTATAACAAAAACAAAAGTTTGGGAAGCATCAGCCGGATGCATTTAGGTTATTTTTTGCAAAATAACGTTTTGTGGTTTTTGCAACTACATTGAAAACGACAACCGACATTCTCCACTTAGTGGCGGTGACGTCAGCACGCCGTTTGTGCCAGGCTAAGTGCACTTTAAGGCCACGTGAAGTGTCGAGAGTGCAGAGTTTCCCATACCTGGGCAGTGTGCTCATGACCGGCACTGGTTTGACAGCAGAGGACTCACTCCGAATCAGTCGAGCAGCATTATCTTGTCATCGGCTGCGTAACGCTGTGTGGAAACTACCTGGTCTGTCACTCCACACGAAGCTTCGAGTTTTCTATGCTTGTGTAACGACAAATGGGTCGTTCTATGGCACCATTGGGTGTACTACATCTAGGGGATCACTAGAGGGCAGGTTCCGGATGTCAAGGAGGTCGGGTAAGGACATGACAGTCTGTGTATACTCGCGAGAGCACGTGATTGGACGAGGGGGCACGGGTACCCCCAGAAGGGGGTGAGAGGGCCACGTGGTGTGGACCCGGAGCCTCCGCAAAGGATCTAGAAGGGAGCGTGACCAGGGGCAGAGCCCGGTCAAGCCACAGCGGATAAAAGCCCAGTCCCGAGAGGGAGCGGGGCTGTTCGACCTGGGAATGAAGCCACCTTCTTCGATCCTCGCTCTTCGGTCTCCACACACGACGGCCAGACGGCGTGTTGGATGTTCTGGTTCAACCATATAGTGGTTAGGAGCGGTTGATAACCATCTTACGTAGTAGGCCTCGGCAAGTCAAGGTAAAAGTTAAAAACAACGAGCCTACCTTTACCCTACCTTTTACCTTACCACAATACAAATTACCCGATTACAGGGTAATTACTGGGGAACTACTACACATGAACAAGGTTTATAACGGTAAATGCTAGGTAGAGCGCTTTATTCATATAGAATACTCTCGATTATTCCAATTTTACACGCTTTTGTTTAACTCTCTCTGTTGTTGTTGTCGTTGTATCCTCAAATCGTGTAACTCAATTTTAACTCACTTCCCAATGTGATATCGACTGCAAACTTGGTATACTTATGTCATACTGATGACAATACTATATTCTATCATAAAAAAATATATATTTTCAAACATTATTTTTTAAATGTTATGTTTCGGCTTGGGTCTAATTGTCCACGCTCAACTGACGTTGGCTGTAATTGGCCACGGTCCCTTACGTTGTGGCAAGCTTCGGGGCCACTTCCTGGAATCGTGGAGTTCTGCCATTACGAGTACATTTAATAAAAGCGTGTTTTTAAAAAAGTTTTTTTTTTATATTACTTGTTAAATGGAGGCCACGGACTGCACCACGGAGCTTCTAGCGGTAAACAAGGCACCGTATTTACCGGGTAATACTTCGTGCTACCTTTACCCTACCCTTTACCTTACCCCTTGGCATGTCGACATCTTTACCCTTTTACCCGGTAAAAAGGGTAAATTACCTTACCTTGCCGAGGCCTAGATATAAGCCCAGTCCCGTGAGGGAGCGGGGCTGCTTGACCCGGGAATGAAGCCGCCTTCTTCTTCAGTTTCCAAGACAATGCCATACAATATTATTATCAGAGCATGTTTGATGTGTGTGTGGGATAATGCAGTCAAAAGTCTGCATTACATCTTAACACCACTTCCTGTTTAAAATTATTGCCAGACAAAGTTGTGTGTATAAATCACACCTATCCTTAAACTTTCATCCATTATTTTTTTGTATTTGTCAAGCTTAAAAACAAACTACACAAAAACAACATGGCTTTTCGATACCAGGACGGGAGTCGTTCGTGTGATGAATTATATTTTTTTCACTCACCAGGGCGATGTTTCACGCCCGTGTACGTCTTAACAAGGATGACCCCCGAGTTTTGGTTCCACGACTGTGGCAGCGCTGTCTGCCATCTCTGGTGTAGAGGCCAATAAGTTCCGAACACTACAACGCGTGTTATTATTCCAAAATTATCAAAGCAGTTTTTGCTTACATTGTCATTGTACTGTCCGTCTTTTGGCTTCATTATCTGGTCTAACATGGGTGCAGAGACACGGCCATGAACAAGGCTGTCTCTGGTGTAGGCCAATGAGTTCCAAACACAACAAAGCCGTAACATCAGTAGTATTTATTCATATCATAGCAGCAGCCGTGTATCGTTTTGCATTGCTTTACCAAAAGCGTGATGTGTGGTTAACACACAGGCTGAGATCCACTCCTTCAGCTGGGGGTAGTGGTCCTGTAGGCTTTCGAGAGCCCTCCAGAGCTTGAGGAACTCGTCCCTGTCAATGAACTCGTCGATCAAAAAGTTGGCGCGCTCCTCTTTCACCGTGATGTCGCGGGCCCTCTTGTATATGTCGCGAGAGATCAAATCCCTGCTGTCCAAGTAGTCGAGCAGGTACGTGGGGTCCCTGCCAATCCACGTCTTCAGTTCCGGCCTCTTCCCTTTGATCAGCTTGGCAGCCTTCGACTCATCCATGTCTCGAACTGGTGAGTAGTGGAGGAGATGCGATGTCACAGTAAATGCCGGTGTTCATCTCTTTCTCTCCTCTCTCTGTGTGCGTGTGTGTATATAGTGGGGGAGTCCGGCAAACTCCAATCCCTTACCTCTGTGGTGGTGTTGGACAGTAACACTGTGGTGGAAGTGAGCAGTGCCATGGAGGGAAGGACAATTCATATCGGCTATACCCCTCATGGCGCTTGTAGCCACCACAGCGGCCAAATGGGTGCTCTGGATGGGTGCGTGGGTCTGGTAACCCCTCCACCTTCAATTTAACTACCCCTTAACTACTAGGTAAAACACTGGGAAAAACAACATGTGCATTGTCGTTCTCTTCTAGCACCATGTTCACCTTTAGCATGTGACCTGTTGTTCTCTTTTAGCCCCGCCGCCCCCCCCAATACGTTCCATTCATTGGCTACCACACTCAGATAAGCTCCTCCCCCCCTCCTCCCCCCCCCCCTTAACTTGTATGTATGAACTTGTATCTTGAATTTGTTTTTGCCTCACTTGATACAGCAAATCTGGCTGTGACGGTCCCACCTAATGACGGTGACTTGTGTTGCCTCCGAAATGTCGTGATTTATTATTTTATTTTATTTCTATTATTACTTTTATTAATTTAATTTTAATTTTTTTTACTTACGTGACTTTACCGAAAGTACCTAAGAGTAAAAAAACATAACTCTGATAATGTATGCACTGTCCTTGATATTGATTGGTCCACACCCGAGACAGCTTTCCTTAGAGCCTAGTCTCACATGGTGTTGGACCAGATGACGCCAAAAGGTGCACAACTCAAAGACAATGCACCATCAGAGTATGAGAGCTCGGGGTAAGCATTTACACCATTGGAACCTCATTTGCCAATAAAAATATATGATAATTGTTTTTTTACCCTTTTATCTGGCAACAAAACTGACACCTTTTTTACAAGGAGTCATGTTTGCATTGACCACAATACCTGCAGTCGGAATGCAAACAAAAAAACACTAGGCTCTAAGGAAAGCTGTCTCGGGTGTGGACCAATCAATTTCAAGGACAATGCATACATTATCAGAGTTATGTTTTTGTTTGCATTCCGACTGCAGGTATTGTGGTCAATGCAAACATGACTCCTAGTAAAAAAAAGGTGTCAGTTTTGTTGCCAGATAAAAGGGTAAAAAACCAATTATCATATTTTGCTACTGGCAAATGAGGTTCCAATGGAATATGAAAGCAGTGTTTGCTTACATTGTTATTGTACTGTCCGTCTTTTGGCTTCATTATCTGCTCTAACACGAGTGCAGAGACAAGGCCATGGACAAGGCTGTCTCTGGTGTAGGCCAATGAGTTCCAAACACAACAAAGCCATAGCATGAGTATTTTTTTCATATCAAAGCAGCTGCAGCATTTCGTTTTGCATTGATTTACCACAAGTGTGAGGCATGGTCGATGCACAGGCTGAGATCCACTCCTCCAGCTGGGGGTAGTGGTCCTGCAGGCTTTCGAGAGCCCTCCAGAGCTTGAGGCACTCATCCCTGTCGATGAACTGGTCAATCAAAAAGTTGGCACGCTCCACTTTCACCGTGATGTCGCGGGCCCCGTGGTATATGTCACGAGAGATCAAATCCATGCGGTTTAAGTAGTCGAGCAGGTACGTGGGGTCCCTGCCAATCCACTTCTTCAGTTCCGGCCTCTTCCTTTTGATCAGCTTGGCAGCCTTCAGCTCGTCCATGTCTCGAACAACTGGTTAGTAATGGAGGAGACGCCACGTCACAGTAAATACTGGTGTGCTGCTCTGTCTCTCCTATCTCTGTGTACATGTGTATGTATAGTGGGGTAGTCCGGCAAAAGCAATCCCTTACCTCCGTGGTGGTGCTAGACGGTAACATTTTGGTGGATGTGAGCAATGCCATGGAGGGAAGGCCAATTTCTATCATAGCGCTTGTAGCCACGACAGCGGCCAAATGGGTGCTCTGGATCGGTTCGAGGGGCTGGTAACCCCTCTACCTTCAATTCAACTACCACTAAACTAGTTAAAAAATATCGAATTGATCTTTTGCTGGAGACCCTGGGGGACAGGTACAGTGAGGGAAAAAAGTATTTGATCCCCTGCTGATTTTGTACGTTTGCCCACTGTCATAGAAATGATCAGTCTATCATTTTAATGGTAGGTTTATTTGAACAGTGAGAGACAGAATAACAACAACAAAATCCAGAAAAACGCATGTCAAAAATGTTATAAATTGATTTGCATTTAAATGAGGGTAATAAGTATTTGACCCCTCTGCAAAGCATGACTTAGTACTTGGGGCAAAACCCTTGTTGGCAATCACAGAGGTCAGACGTTTCTTGTAGTTGGCCACCAGGTTTGCACACATCTCAAAAGGGATTTTGTCCCACTCCTCTTTGCAGATCTTCTCCAAGTCATTAAGGTTTCAAGGCTGACGTTTGGCAACTCGAACCTTCAGCACCCTCCACAGATTTTCTATGGGATTAAGGTCTGGAGACTGGCTAGGCCACTCCAGGACCTTAATGTGCTTCTTCTTGAGCCACTCCTTTGTTGCCTTGGCCGTGTGTTTTAGGTCATTGTCATGCTGGAATACCCATCCACGAACCATTTTCAATGCCCTGGCTGAGGGAAGGAGGTTCTCACCCAAGATTTGATGGTACATGGCCCCGTCCATCGTCCCTTTGATGATGCGGTGAAGTTGTCCTGTCCCCTTAGCAGAAAAACACCCCCAAAGCATAATGTTTCCACCTCCATGTTTGACGGTGGATTTGGTGTTCTTGGGGTCATAGGCAGCATTCCTCCTCCTCCAAACACGGCGAGCTGAGTTGATGCCAAAGAGCTCCATTTTGGTCTCATCTGACCACAACACTTTCACCCAGTTGTCCTCTGAATCATTCAGATGTTCATTGGCAAACTTCAGACAGGCATGTATATGTGCTTTCTTGAGCAGGGGGACCTTGCGGGCGCTGCAGGATTTCAGTCCTTCACGGCGTAGTGTGTTACCAACTGTTTTCTTGGTGACTATGGTCCCAGCTGCCTTGAGATCATTGACAAGATCCTCCCATGTAGTTCTGGGCTGATTCCTAACCATTCTCATGATCATTGCAACTCCACGAGGTGAGATCTTGCATGGAGCCCCAGGCCGAGGGAGATTGACAGTTCTTTTGTGTTTCTTCCATTTGTGAATAATCGCACCAACTGTTGTCACCTTCTCACCAAGCTGCTTGGCGATGGTCTTGTAGCCCATTCCAGCCTTGTGTAGGCCTACAATCTTGTCCCTGACATCCTTGGAGAGCTCTTTGGTCTTGGCCATGGTAGAGAGTTTGGAATCTGATTGATTGATTGCTTCTGTGAACAGGTGTCTTTTATACAGGTAACAAGCTGAGATTAGGAGAACTCCCTTAAAGAGTGTGCTCCTAATCTCAGCTCGTTACCTGTGTAGGGCTGTTACAGAGGGTCTGTTGTGTAGGGCTGTTTGCATAGGGGCTAACGGAAAACAGATACAGTGGGCGGGGTCTCCGTGAGCACACGGGGTGGTGCCCGCAACGACGTCCGTACTGGACGGCGTGAGGGGGGTTTCGATCCTCTAGGGGGGTATAAAAAGGGTTGAGCCAGAGAGCTCGGGGCTCAGTCTTAGAGTAGTTAAGGGAAGAGAGAAGACCGGCCAGATAGGCCCTGGACTCCCCCTGGGACGCCGCCCTTGTAAGGGCAGTGCAGGCTGGAGCCAGTGGCGTGGTCCCGGAACCAGAGTCAGACCTCTGGGATTCCGGGTACCGTAGCCCGACTAACCAGTGTCGGGCCAGACAGCCTCCCCTAGCCCGTTAGCGGAGGACTCGGCTAGGAAGGCTAGCTAGGGGTGAATTCCCAGTTGTACGGGTGAGGGGGCCGATACATCCCTCCAGTACTGTAAAGACATTGTGTAAATAAATACGTGTGCCTTACTCCGTTGTCCACGCGTCTTCAAGAACACTTCATCTGGCGTCAGAAGAACCAAGAACATGGACACGCGCCGATCAGCTCGAGCCAGGGAACAGCAGACGGAAGACGCCGCCGAAATTGTCGAGCCCGAGATGGCTCAACAAGACGACGTGCAGCCGGGGCCGGACGCGTGCTTACCGGAGCGTCGCCATGAAGAGGAGCAGCGGGGAGACAACCTGAGGCTGGCTCACGAGAGGCTGGCGGAACTGCTCTACGCCGCTGCCGCTACGCTGGAGAACATCACACGGCTGGGGGCTGGTGGTCCACCGCGGGGCGAGGGGAACCGGTGTATGGAGCGCCTTCCCGCCATTTCTGAAGATTCAAATTTTGAATTTCCCGCCATCGACGCAGCGACCGCTAGGGGCGTGGCCAACCTCAACCTGGGGTCCGACATCGGCCGCGCTGGGGCTGCCGCATCAACGACGGAGGAGGGCGCGTCATCAAAGCTGCGACAGGCGATGCCATCTGCCATTCGCGCCGAGACGCAGCCGAGTCGGGGAGGCAGCAGCCCACGGGACTCCACGGCAACCGCTGCACTACACCAAAGGCTGCCCCCGCTTAAGGAATTCGTGGGCGCAGAGGGCGACTGGAGCGGCTTCCGAAGACGCTTCCTCGCCCACCAAGAAATGGCTAAATGGACAGACGAAGAAGCTCTCAGCGCCCTGCCGGCGCTCCTGGACGGCGACGCGCTTGCCGCCCTAACATCGGCACCAAAGGAAAGGCGCTCTACGTTACCGATGGCGCTGCAGCTGCTGGGAGGGAGTCTACGGACCATCGGCGGAATGCAGACAGGAGTTCTACGACCGCAAGCGGGGAGAAAAGGAGTCGCCCCTAGCGTACCGAACGAGCCTCCTGGCGATGGCCAAGTCGGCCTTCCCCCGTATGGATGACGACGGCATCGACGCTATGGTAACGGAGAAGATACTCCTCCTGGCCGACGATCTTGACATCACTGTCGTCGCACAGGAGGACGCGGAAATGACATCGCTCCAGGCGGCGCGGCTCCTCCACGCAAACCTCCTGTCGCTTCGGCGCAAAGCCAGCAGGGCATCGGCGGGGCGTGCGGTGGCTGCAGCCACCCTTCCGACGGAGGAACTCTACGCCGTCGACCACCGACGGCAACAGGCGACGAGTGCACGGCCGGGCCAGGACGGGTCGGGCCGTTCCGACCATTCGTCACCTCCGACGTCGCTCCCGCGGTGTTTTAACTGCGGCGTCCGGGGCCACGTCGCCTCGGGGTGCCGCTCTCCTCGTCAGCGCGGGACGACACCTCACCGGGACGACGGGCCTCATCCCAAGCTCCACCATCAAAAACCGGCGAGTCGCGGCACCCCACACGTTTGGCCCACACACACACCCGTCACGCACTCAAACACCGCGACGAGAGGGGGGCCGGTATCACGCACCATCGCACCATCACGCACCACTCCGGGTACCCATATCGAACCCGGCCAGTGGTCCGTGCTGGCCGATCGTGTGGTTGCCGCATCGTCGGGGTCGTCGGCCGTTGTAGGATATATCGACGGGGTGGAAGTGCGCATCCTGGTCGATACGGGGGCATCGGCGACTATTATTTCGGAATTAATTTATAACATTCTCCCTGTCCGGAGTCGTCCCTTGATGCCAGTTAACATACCATTCTATGCGGCTAACGGGGGCTCACTTGGCATCATCGGACAAATTCGTGCCCAAATTTGTATCGGGGAAATAAAATTGTCTGGGCCGATTTTTGTTTCTTCCTCGCTGGCGGTTCCGTGCCTGCTGGGGACGGACTTCCTGGCCAAGATGCCGATTGTAATTTTGATCGACCAGGGGTGCATAGAGCTTCCATCGGGCAGACGCATGGCGTTTCTGCCATCACCGGTTGCGACTCGGACGGCGTTCGCGACGGTGCCGGCGTTCGTGGAGAGAACGGTACGCGTTCCTCCGGGAACGCAAATGTTGGTACCCTTGAAACTTCGGCGGCCCCTCGTTAAGGGTGCTGGGGCACAAGGGGTACTGTTGGGACCGTCTAGGGCCGGGGTTAGTGGACCTGACTTACTACCGGCCCAGACCATAGTGAGAGGGGATGGTGAACCCTTCATCGCGGTCCTAAATGTGGGCTCGCGGACGGTGGTGCTCCCACAGGGGACCGTGCTTGCTCACGCAACGCCGGTGCCGTGTGAGGAGCCCGCCGTAAATTCCGTCAACACTGTCCCTGCGTCGCGACCGCGTTCGGACAGCGATGAAGGGTGGCTCGAGGCGCTTTGTGCGGGATCGACGGACCTGTCCGATTCAGAGCGTCAACAACTTAAAACGCTACTGCGAGAATTTTCCGACGTTTTTAGTCGAAATAAATATGATTTGGGTTGCACTCACTTGCTGCGTCACCATATTGACACGGGTGACAGCACGCCAATTCGCCAAAATCCGTTTCGGTTGAGTCCCGCCGAAAAGGACCATGTCAAATCGGCTGTTGATGACATGTTAGCCGCGGACATCATTTCTCCTTCCACCAGCCCTTGGGGAGCGCCGATCGTCCTGGTTAAAAAGCAGGACGGTTCGTTGCGGTTTTGCGTTGACTTCCGGCGTCTTAATAAAATTTCGGTTGCCGACGCATACCCGCTCCCTCGGATGGATGAATCGCTTGACGCCTTGGCGGGAGCGCGATTCTTTTCCACACTCGATTTACTTTCGGGATTCTGGCAGCTTCCTCTGGATGATGAGTCAAAGCCTAAAACTGCTTTTCGTACACCGCACGGCTTGTTTCAATTCA